TGAGGGGGCCACTTGGGGATCTGGGGCAAAATCAGTACTTGGTCCTGCTAGTGAAGGCAGGGGGCTGGACTCCTTGACCTTTCAAGGTCCTTTCCAGTTCTAGGAAATGGGATATCTCCATTAATTTCAATTTCATTGTGGATAGTTCTCTGAAAACACTCAAAAAAGCAAACAGGATGTTGGGCATCATTAAGAAAGGGATAGTTAATAAGAGAAAATATCATGTTGCCTCTACATAAATCCATGGTACGCCCACACCTTGAATACAGTGTGCAGATGTGGTCACCCCCGTCTCAAAAAAGATATATTGGAATTGGAACACACACAAGAGCGGGTTGCAGCTCTGCTTCCCGATCTCAGTTAAGCAACAAGTGTAACAGCCCCTGCCATGCCCCCCCCCCGAACCTGCACTGCACCCAACCCATCCCCTCCTCACCCATGTCTGCTCCCCACTCCTGCCATGTCTCCACTAACCACCACCACCAACCCTTTTCTCACCCACACTGCCCCCCACCACTGCCTCCTCCTCAAGGCACCCCACTCCCACAGCCCCTTGAACTACCTGCCTACTGCCCCCCCCCCACCACACACACACCTTCATCACCCACGGACATCCTGCTCACACCCCGCCCATCCCCTCAGGTAAAGCCAGTTTTCCTCACCCTCTGCTGATGGGTGCCCCACCCTGCCATGGCCCTGACTCTGCCCGGGGCAGCCTCCCATCTTGGCCGTGACTGTGTCTGCTCCTCCTCACAGCCTTCATGACCATGGTGATGATTTTCCTTCACACATTCTGGGGAATCCTCTTCTTCCATGGCTGTGAGACCCAGCACTGGTGGGAGATGGCGGCCGTCATCCTCACTCACCTCATCGTGTCAGGATCGGTGAGTGTGGGCAGGGCAAACCGGAGACATGGGCGGCTGGGCAGACTGCTCCCACACCACCGTGTCTCTGCTGCCGGGGTGGGCAGTTCTGGGCCAGGAATTACTATCTGGCTGGTGTGCGGGGTGCCCCCAGGATCTGGGCCCTGTCCGGATGGGTGCCGCATGCACAGAGAGACAGTCCCTGCCCCCAGGAGAAACTGGGTGTTCCCCCCCCATGACCTGTGGGACCCTGCATGAGTGCGAATGGGCAGAGGCAGCCTCTAGGTATGGACACCTGCAAGTGAGAGACACTAGCACCCCTGAACCTCAAACTCCAAACGCTTCAGAGGAGCCTGCAGGACCCACTAGCTCTGGGGGGTAACGCTGTCCTGCTGCAGACCAGCGAGACACCCCAGTGCCCTCGGCATCCCAGCCCCACACCCCTCAGAGCATTGTGCCTCAGCCAGGTGCAGAGCCAGGAGTGTCAGGGAAGGAGATTAGCGCATCGAGGGGGCCTGAGCCAAGCAGGCCAGGGCTCAAGGGGAGGCCAGCTCTGGCATAACTGCCTCTGGGGCTCCCCCCGGCTCATCCCCTCCTCTCACTCTGTTTGCTGTTCTCCTCTCAGACGTTCTGGAACCCCCTGTACGTGGGCAGCCTCGTCCCCTCCTACCTGCTGATGTTTGCCACAGGTGCATGGGCCTACGTCCTGTCAGGAGGCTGCACTCAGAACCTGCTCCAGTCCCTGCGGGGTGAGTATCCGCTCCAGCCCCACGTCCAGAGCAGGAGCCCTGCCGAGGCCCTGCCTCTGAGGGGGTAGGGAGGGGCTACCCCAGTGTTGGGAGGATGTGGCCTGCTTTGGGGCCCATCCCCAGAATTATCTGGGAGAATGCCCTGATCTGAGCCCCTTCAGCAGTGACGTTAACCCGTTCCTGGCACTAGCAGGTGGGGAAACACCCCAATCTGGGCTGTTCATCAGGGTGAGAATGGGGTGGGAAATGACCCGCTCTGGAACCCTGTGAGCTGGGTGCCTGAACTCACCCCCTCGCCTTTACTTCTCCATAGGGCAGCAGAGCGAGACAAGCCCCCAGCCAGGATCCTGAGGGTCCATCAGGAGCTCTCCCCCTCAGCTGCTCCCTGCCTGCCCTGCCCTCCCTCTGGTGCTGTCAGCTGGGACCTACAGTTGCCTTCTCTGCAATATCATTTCTCTCTTCTGGAATGGGGGTCCCCCGATCTGTCCCTGCTGGAGGCAGGTGTCCGGGGACTCCTGCAGCCAGGGAGTAGCCAGCAGACTGTCTGATAGCCGGGGGCTGCTCACCGTCCTACCAACCCCTCTCCCTCCGTGCTGTGGACATGGACTGATTTAGCCCACCCTTGAAAGACACATGGTGTGAGGGGTTCTCCAGAACTCACTGTGCCTGCGCCACAACCGGTGTGTGTGTGTGGTGGGCGCGCTCTGCCCCATACAGGGAACGTCCTTCTCGGCCCCAGGACGTCTGATCTGGCCGGCAGTGGGCTGGGCTGAGGAGCAAGTGAGCAGCGCTGGCCTGTGACTGTTTGCCAGGATACATCCAAGGGCCAAGCTGGGGATGCCAGGCACTAAGGAGTTGCAACGTCCTGTCCCCTTGCCCAGGAGTGGCTGTACCAGGGGGCCGAATTCCCAGCCCTGGCCCCAAGTGCCTGGCTGCTGGTATGGGACAGACTGCCAGGTACTGGCCTGGGAAGGATGGAGGGTGAGAGTGGGTGGCATTTGCGTGGGAAGTGCAGGACAGGTGGGTGGCAAAGGATGAGGCTGAGTGATGCCCAGCACTGGCATGGGGAGGGGGTGAGTGGTGAGAAAGGGGAGGGGGGTGGGCAGGTGGTGCTGGCACTGCATAGCTGGTAGCTGCACGCCTCATGCAGAAGTGCTGGGAGGAGGGGCGGTCGCAGAGGTTTATTCGTGACCCTGCCCATCTCTCTGGTGGGGGTGGATATGAGGCGCATGAGCTGGCACCAGCCCTGGGGATGTGGGGTGGAAGTGGGAGCAGGGACCCTGGTAGCCGTGCAGGGGCGTCAGGGCCAAGAGCCAAGACTGGCTGAGTTTGTAATGGGCTTTTATATCAATAAAGAGAAATACCAGCCTCAAAGAGAGTGTGTGTGTGGCTGTGGGGGATGGGTCCTGCGAATGCAGTGCACCGGCCATGCTGGGAGAATCATAGAATATCAGAGTTGGAAGGGACCTCGGGAGGTATCTAGTCCAACCCCCTGCTCAAAGCAGGACCAATCCCCAACTAAATCATCCCAGCCAGGGCTTTGTCAAGCCGGGCCTTAAAAACCTCCAAGGAAGGAGACTCCACCACCTCCCTAGGGAACCCATTCCAGTGTTTCACCACCCTCCTAGTGAAATAGTGTTTCCTAATATCCAACCTAGACCTCCCCCACTGCAACTTGAGACCATTGCTCCTTGTTCTGTCATCTGCCACCACTGAGAACAGCCGAGCTCCATCCTCTTTGGAACCCCCCTTCAGGTAGTTGAAGGCTGCTATCAAATCCCCCCTCATTCTTCTCTTCTGGAGACTAAACAATCCCAGTTCCCTCAGCCTCTCCTCATAAATCATGTGTTTCAGCCCCCTAATAATTTTTGTTGCCTTCTGCTGGACTCTCTCTCCAATTTTTCCACATCCTTCTTGTAGTGTGGGGCCCAAAACTGGACACAGTATTCCAGATGAGGCCTCACCAATGTCGAATAGAGGGGAACGATCACGTCCCTCGATCTGCTAGCAATGCCCCTACTTATACAGCCCAAAATGCCATTTGCCTTCTTGGCAACAAGGGCACACTGTTGACTCATATCCAGCTTCTCGTCGACTGTGACCCCTAGGTCCTGCTTCCTAGCCATTCGGTCCCTAGTCTATAGCAGTGCATGGGATTCTTCCGTCTTAAGTGCAGGACTCTGCACTTGTCCTTGTTGAACCTCATCAGGTTTCTTTTGGCCCAATCCTCTAATTTGTCTAGGTCCCTCTGTATCCTATCCCTACCCTCCAGCGTATCTACCTCTCCCCCCAGTTTAGAGTGAAGTTGGGGTAATACCCAGCTCGTATGCAGTGTTTCAGGGGTAGGGGCAGGGTTATTATCCGTATTGTACAGCTGGGGAAACCAAGGCACAGGCACGGAATTGATTTGTCTAAGGTCACCCACAGCCCAGTGGGGGAGCCTGGAAGAGAACCCAGCTGTTCTGAGCCCTGGTCCAGTGCTGAATCCACTCGACTACATTGCCACTGTCTTGGGAGGGGAGGTTTGTAGACAGTTGGGGAGGGGGCTGTCTTATTGTTTCCCTTGGGTCCTTGTTCATGACAGAAATGCTGCAGGGACTCCACATGGCCACTAGGTGTCAGCCAGTCCACAGCCCGTGGCGCTGGCATCGAGTGGGGCTGTGGCTGGATGTTGCCAGGTGGACGCGGGGCTCCAGGCTGGCCCAGTAACGAGCCCCACCAGAGGGTCACAGGATGCTGGGCACTGGCTTCCCCGCTCTGGCTGGGCAGTGGCTGTCTAGCCTCTGCTGCTGCAGGCAGGGGTCTGGTTGCTGAGCCCTGGGGAGCAGGCCGATGGCCATGGGAATCCCCCTCCCACCTGGGACAGGCCTCGTGGCAATTACTTCTGCTGCTGCTCAGCCCACGGTGCACTAAGAACGTGTGGGACTGAGCTGCACTTGCCACGGCAATGCAGCCACGGGTGGGGCGGAGAGCTTAGGGCGGGGCAGGAAGGCAAAGCCCAGCTGCAGCGTCCCCCATGTTGGGATTGGCCCAGGCCGCTGGAGCCTGTACCCTGACAGCTGGGGAATGTCCCACTGGTTCTTCACTGACCACAGGCAATGGGACCTTCAGTCTGGTTCCTGCACCCCCAGCCTGGTGGGGAGACATATCCCCTGCTAGCTTGTAACAATCACCCCTTGCTAACTCCCACCCCTGGGGCTTCCTGGCTGCTCTAGCTGGGCATCCGTTGTGCTGCTACGGGCGGCTGGCCCTGCCCAGGGGTGCTTCCTGGCCCTGGCCTGGGGCAATCCCCCAGCAGAGGCAGGGCCGTCACTGCAACGGTGGGAGTGGCCCTGGCCCCCGTGGGCGATAGCTCCTGCAGCAGAGGCAGGGCTGGTGTAGCAATAGGTTTTTATTTCATTTATTTTATTGTGTTTTTAAAAAAAGTATCTGTGAAAGGGGGGGAGTTTCCCCCCTCAGTCTCTGCTGAGCCTCAGTGCAGGTAACCAGGCCTCAAGGAGCGAAGGCCCCAGCTGAGGGGCCCCTGCTGCTCTGGCCCCCCGGTAGGGGGGAAGGGCGTGCTGGGCTGGCCGCAGGGGGCAGGGTCTGGCTGGGTGAGCCCCAGGAGGCGTGTGCTGGTCTCCATTCCATGTGCCAGAGGCCCTCGCAGGGCAGCAGGGGCAGCGCCTACGCCGCGTTCTCATCTGTGGTGGCTGCTGTGTAGATGACATTGGGCTTGGGGTGAGAGTCCGGCCTGCAGGGAAGGGAGAACACAGGGGTCAGGGCGGCCCTGGAATGAGCTGAGAAAGGACTGGTCACCTGCAGCTCCCTGGCAGTCCCCCTTCCGCATCATGGGGCAGGTGCTCCCCACTCACCCCCCGGCCGCTGGGCTGGGCTGGGGTGCAGGAGTGACTGCTGCTAGGTGGGCTGCGACTCTCCCAGCCTTTGCAGGGTAGGGCACTGGGGTGAGGGGTGGGGATTTGGCTGGGGGGGGGGCAGCAAGGGAGAATCATAAATTGAATGGAGTTTCAGGATGGTGGGGGGGGAGGTTCCTGCATACAGAGAGGGGGAGTGGAGGATGCCTGGGGCTCTCACCTCCTATTCTGGCTCTGCTGCTTGTAGATGTAGATGAGGAAGGCCAGAGCCGTGACTGCGAAGAGAACCCCGAAGAGACCGGCCAGCACCTCCGCTGCAGACACAGGAGAGCAAGGGGGGGTGAGGCCCTAGACACAGACGGGGAGGGAGAGCTCTAGTCCTGGGAGAGTGGGACAAGCCAAG